CCAAGATTACAGATATCTGGATCCAACTGATAATCTTAACGTTAACCAATACAGATCTAGTTTTTTCAAAATCGTCAACGTGGGATTCAAACTCTAGACCTGCCATTTGGGGGTGCGACAACTCCACCACTTCACTAAGTTGCCACACCCTTTGATTGTTTTTTGTTTTGTACCCAATCTAATAAGTTTATATAATTAATAAATTATATAAATATATAGAATAATAATTGTAAAATATACATACCAATAATACCAGGTTCTTTACATTTTTCAAAAAATTCGAGAGTATTCATAATTTTATAAGCCGTTTTACTCTCGATCAATGAATACATTTTTTTTTTTTATTTCTTTATTTGTTCCTTTTTTACGAATATTTCTAAAATGATAATTTATAAATTAAATTAAATAGATATATATATATATTTAAATATTTATAATTAGAAATTTTTACCTTTTAAAATGTATAGTACATAATTTATAAATTTGTTCTAAATATTTAACCGCATTAAATATTAGAAATTTTTCAGCTAAATATTGACCTAAGCCTAGAATAATCGTTAATATAATATTTATAATAATTTCAATAAAAATTAATAAAAATTTACCCAATGCTTGACCATAATGCTCATCAGCTAAGATACATCCAATTCTGTAATCATGGATATGTTGAAATTCTATAGAGTGTTTACAATCTTGTTTGACTCAGGCAAAAAGTTCTTCAAATAGTTTTTTGGTACGTATCTGCTGTTTGAAGGATAGTAAAAGCATGTGCAAATACCAAAGCTTTCAAATATAATTTTTATATTAATTAGTATATATCGTTTATTGATATATATACATAGTAATATATTTAAAACCTGCTTACTTTTTTGATATTTTTCTATATAAGCACATACCTCCCATTCATTAATTGGTCCATGTACACGTTTAAAGCTCATATCTATTTCAAAATACAAGGAATCTGCCAAATATTTTATTTGATTCTCATAACCGCATAGTATTAAATATTAAAAAAACCTAAAAAATAAATGATTAATATAAATATAAATTATATATAAAGATATATAATTATATATAAATTTAAATAATTGTTACGAATAGATCTAATATAAGGATTATCTTTTTCATCCTGTTTTTGCTTTAAAAGCATGTATACAACACCCATAATATCTTGACTATACGGATGTTCAGCATGACGCCTTGTTGCAATCATATGCTCAATTTTAGATCGATTATTCAATGATGGGTGTAATTCTGGAAGTGGAACTCCTTTAAGAAATTGTTGCATCAATGTATCTAATAAATTTAAAATTAATATAGTATTAAAAAACTTATAGTGCAACCTAACCAAATTATATAATATTTTATAACTAGAATTAAATCGCCAACCAAAAAAAAAATTTAAATCATGTAATTTAATACAATATAAATTATTATATAATGATAATTAAAAGCAAACATATAACTAGTTTGTTGAATATGTAAATGATATAAATTACATGATCTGAGACTTTTTAAATTCTACTAATGAACCTGCAGCTACTCATAAATATATTTTTGAAACATTTTACTCCAAAAAATAAAAAATTTAAAAATTTATTTCTTGCCAAATTAGAATTTAAAAATTATTGGTTTAAATTATATCACGATACTATCAGAAGCTGCCCTGAATGATAATAAAAATACATACGGGTAATTAATTTTCTTGCCATTAAATCTAAGATATCCTTTGCTGCGATTATACTTTTTAAATCATTTTGAATAGCCACAGGTATTTTTGACGGTGGGGTAGTGGATGATTGTAAACATATCGTGACATAATTACAATATACGGACAATTTTCAAGATCTTCAGGCACATAATGCCAGAATTTGACGGAACATCCTAATTTTTCTTGAATTAATCCTTGAGCTACTTCATTACTTTCAGTAGTATGAATATAAGCTATATAAATATAAATTAATTAATTTTTGGCAATAATATATACAAAAATTAATAAACAATAAAAAAATATATATGTCATTTTTTTGCTTGTGCACTGTAAGGGTGAACTATATAGCAATGTCGAATAGAATCTGAAATCTAAATATCATATTAGTATTAATTAATATATTTGAGTTTTAACTATTAAATAATTTAATTTAATATAAATACTTTTCCAATAATTCCATCACTATAATATATATATTTGTGAAAGAGTTTTTTTAAGTATTCAACATTAATTCGCCCAGATAAACTTTGATACCGATAGCCATGTTTACCATTTTTAAAATTTTCACAACCAATAAAATAAGTAGGTGTAGAAGTATCATCTTCTTGCTATAAACGATAATGATATTAATAAATTTTTATTAGGTATCGTCAATCAAAACATAATATGGTATATAGATTAAAAAAATCATTACATGAGATTAATTATAACATGGTATTGTAATAAACTAGACAATTAATCAATAACGCCCCATGTTATAATTAATTTTTCATAATTTTTTTGTACGTATGTATATTTTAATTGACAATAGCTTAAATAATATAAAAACCTGATAATGAGATCTAAGTTTAAGCTTGCTATTATATCGAATACCGGTTTGAGGATAAATAAATCCGCATGGTACTTTATGTGCTGCAGCAAATGCATTAATAAAAAAAAATTCAATATATGTTTATTAATATATTATATATATAAATATATATGTACTATAAATATATATAATAAATATAACTTACTTTAACATATTTGTATATGAAGACAATTTATTCGCCTCAAATATTTTTTTGAAAAGATTGTTGTCAAAGTCCACTGATGTATGTTTCATCACTACTAATTCAGGTGCTGCAAATTGGCATATTTTAATACCACGACATTTTCTTGTCTCTTTATAAACTTTTGCATTTAAAAAAGGGCAGTAAACACTTTTACGGGTGGTTCCATCTTTATAAGAATACTGAATATTCTTAAGATCAAAAATCTCAAGAGCTTTTTCAGTATCCATACCAGCTACATTATAAATACAAGCGATACCATCCTCAGAAGTCTCTGGATATTCTTTAAATTCAAGCTGATATTTAATTTTAGCAACAATTTCTGGCTTCGCTCTTCCTAATTTAATTAATCGGGGCTATATAATATTAAAATTTTAGTATTAGTAGATCATTTTATTCAACTATTGATTAGTTGGCCAATCGATTAACTGATTAGTTAACTAATGAATTGGCCAACTAATCGATTAGTTGAATAAAAAAAAAAAGAAATATATGTAAAGTGGCAACTGCGACAGCCAGATTAATATTCTTATATAATCAATTAATTTCACCTAGTTGATTAATCGGTTAGTTGACCAATCGATCAATTAATCGACTAAGTTGGTTTGTAAAATTCAAATCGATCGTGTTATATACCATCTCAATTTCTTCAATTTCTTCAGAAGTAAATGTGGCTACTTGTTTACTAAACTTCCACTATATAATTTATCGTTATAATATAATTTAGTAATTTAATATCACAAAATTTTTTATTATGTTTCTTAAAATTTATACCGTTAATAAATTATTTGGATCTTGGCTATCCTTATTCAAAGAATCAAAATCCAATTCATCACCAGAATTCTGTTCATTGTTAGAACCCCATTCATCAACAAATCCCTCTTCATTGTCAGAATTCTGTCCGTCAACAAAACCCTGTTCATCGTCAAACTCTCATTTGTCATCAAAATCATAACCATGCTGACTTGTATCGAACAGGTAATCCCATTCATCGTCAAAACTAACAGGTTGATTTGTACTAATTTGGTAAGCCATTTACAATATTAATTCATATGTATATACAAGAAAGAAATGTACTATGTACAAATAAAATTTTTGACTAATTTGTATAAAATAAAATTTTATTTTTTTTTTTTTTTAATATTAAGGTGACCACTTAGGCCATTGGCATGAGCTTTATTTGGATAGTTACGGTATATTACATCA